ACTAGTTGTTCTCTCTTAATGAAGTCATTTTTATAGCCCTGTGCTGCCATTGATGCAAATCTTAATTGCAGTGGAACAATTTGTTGAAAGTTGAAGTTCGGACAATAAGACAAAAATGCAGCTTGTCTTGGTACAGAGAAAACCTCCGGCAACTTCTTTTTCTATGATAGAAAAAAGTTACAACTTTACTTCTAGCTGTTGCAAAACACTGACACTGGAGACCTCTTCCAAAAAGGCAAAATAAACACACTATATGCCTCAATGTGTATGGACTCCTGACCATCACATGTATATGTGGGCCTTCTTCAAACAAGGTTTGAAGCACAGTTATATAGGATGTCATTGTGTGCTGTATCATTAAGAATTTCCCATCACTGGAATTAAGAGGCCCAGACATGTTCCAGCATGACAGGGCCCCTGTGCACAATGCGAGCTCCATGAAAACATGGTTTGCCATGGTTGGTGTGGAAGAATTCAAGTGGCCTGAACAGAACTCAACCCCACTGAACAATTTTGAGATGAACTGGAACACTGTCTACGTGCAAGGGGCAACGTCTCTCCCCTCATCTAAAGGGAGCGTCCCAGCTTTTCTAGGAGAGAGCTATCTTCATCCCAGCCACTTCACACTTTTAAACGTTCATGTGTATGTCAAAGGTCCTGTTTGAATGGTGCCAAGATAATATGTCATCTGCAAACAACAGCCATTGCCTCTATTGGACATCTTTCCAACCTGTGCTGCATCCTGAGACAAGACACGCCCTTGATGGTGTCTGATACCTTAAATGGTTTTGAATTTGTGCCAAAAATGTGGACACACCTCTCACTGTACTCATACATACACTGTAATGCACAAACGCAGGTACTCCTGCAGTAACTCCTTCAAATGCTGAGGAACATCATAATATGCTTTCTCCAAATCATAAAAAAAGGCAACAGCAAAATAGTTGAATATTGTCTCAAAGTACTGACCCTTGTATTTACTGTATTGTTTTGCCCTTGTGGTGTTTTACTGCAACTGTGATTTGTACCTGGTTAGTATCTTACATTGTTGCAGTATTTCCATTTTATGTAGTCCTATTTAAACAGCTCCTTTATTGTCTTTAATGTTGCAATGTGTCATTTGACATTATCTGTGAGTATGGATGATATGACAATAAAAATATGATATGATAAAGTGTATCTAGGTGTATGCATGGTAGCATACCATGAAAGATGAATGAACGGCAATCATTTTGATTTCAGGTCTGTCGTGTGGCAGAAATGGACCAAAACTTGTTCTGGCAACACAGTGACCTAATTTAAAACTATCAGATCAATCTATAGTAGCATACAAGGAGATCTTTCTGGGGTTTTTTTTATGAATGTGCTTCACCTCTCAGTTCAAAATAACTTGGACGTTAATCATGCAGAAGACCGGGCATGATGTACCGAAGGAAAGACATAGCTCAATTGTAGCATTGTAGATTGTGAATAAATATAGACTGCCACTTTTCAGTAAAAGAAAATGAATGACCTTGGTGTTGTGGTGTTACGGTTGTGTGAGGAATGTGAATGACTCTGCCATTCATGCAAGTTTTCCTCTGAGGAGAAACAAACGAGGGATTTACTATCATCAGAAGGTGGTGTATTCTATGGCAGTATGAAATATTCTGGAGATGTCGTGAAATATACACTATGTTGTTTTATATATATTGAAACTGGACAAATGAAGATTGGGAAAATGTAGTGTTTTCCAGATTTGGTGAGCTTGTGCAGACTGTATCCTCAGATTCCTGTTCTTGGATGACAAAAATAGAACCAGATGTGGTCTTCTGCTGTTTTAGCTTCAGTGTTCAAAAATTGGTGCATTCTGAGATGCTTTTCTGCTCACCGTGGTTGTAAAAACCTTTACAGAACATATCTCAGCAACTGCAAGGTCCTGTCGGTTAGTCCTGTACAACATCAAGAAAACTGACCCTACATCACCGAATAGGCTACACAGATACTGGTCCAGGCTCTTGTTATCTCTAAACTGGACTACTGCAACTCACTGCTTTCAGGCCTCCCATCCAGCTCCATCAAACCCCTTCAAATGATTCAGAATGCTGCAGCACGCCTTGTCTTCAACCAGCCCAAGACAGCCCATGTCACACCCCTCTTCAACTCCCTCCACTGGCTTCCTGTAGCTGCCCACATCAATTCAAGGCCTTGATGCTCACCTACAAGACCTTGTCAGGAACAGCACCCTCCTACCTCAACTCTCTCCTGAAGGCCTACGTTCCCTCTCGCAATCTGCGATCTATTAGTGACCGACGTTTAGTAGATCCCACTCTGCATGGCGCAAGGTCCCTTTCCAGAACCTTCACGCTAACTGTTCCTCACTGGTGGAATGCACTTCCAATCTCAATCCGGACTGCAGAATCTATCACCATCTTCAAAAAACAGCTAAAAACACCTAATTAAAAAAAATAAAAATTTTAAATTGCACTTACACCTCTACTCGGTGCACTTTGCTTCCTCTGGAACTCAATTAATGGATCTTGTATAGTAGCACTTCTTGTATTGTTCTCTGCTTGATATATCGCTTTGCTTATTTGTACGTCGCTTTGGATAAAAGCGTCTGCCAAGTGAATAAATGTAAATGTAATGTAAATGTAAAAAGTGTTTATTTGAGTTCCCATAGCCTTCCTGTCAGCTCAGACCAGTCTGGCCATTCTCCTCTAACCTCTTCAGGCACCATTCTGTGGAAGCTCTATAGGCTGTTGTGCATGAAAGACTTCTAGTGGAGGAAAGTATCAGTAGTTGCTTCTGCTAACGATCACCAGAATGCAAGGAGCTTGAAATACAGTATTATGATTCAGTGATATTCTGGGATTAATACTTTCTTCCCATTTTAGAGCACCATTACACTTCAGATCTATGTGTACCATTTTTTTAATGCTGCTTGTATTGCTGTAGTTCTTTATAGTCTCCTCGGTTTTGTTTTTCGAATTCAAGGCTGTTAAAAATGAGACCAATAGTCTCCAAAGGATTTTTTTCTGTGTAATAAATATAATAAATGCATTCTTTCTGCTAGATAAATCTGCTGTTCTATCACCATGCTTACCAAAATTTAAGGTTCCTCTTAAGCAAACTTTATTCTAGGTAGCAAGAATATTCTCAGCTTTATTAAACAGAGATTTCACATGTTTTGTGAATAATGAGCGCAGATGATAAGTCTCAAGTGGGTCAGTTAACAGGAGCAGTCTTGAGATGTCCTGTACTAACTGTAATGTTTCTCCTCTTCCCTGACTCAGGCTACCACCACAGTCTCCCTTCTTCACCGTACTCATCGTCTGGGCCCGAGGCTCAGAGACTGGCTGCATCCGGGGCACTCTCCTCCGAGTTCCTTAACCATGGAGGCGGAACAGCAAAGATTCTAATGCTGGTGTGTAACGCAGCTGGAGCAGGCCAACAAGCTGTGAGGTGATGCCTATAGAACTACCTTACACTATTTAGGTCCTAATTTACTGTATGCTGTATAAAATATTAACAACGTGATGATACCTGGAAGGATCTGACGAGGACTGAGTCTTTCACACGAGCAAAATACATCTGTTATTTTTTGTGTTTAAAATATGCAATTTGAGGCATTTCTACCAGTATTACTAGCACAAATTCAAGGCAGTGTTAATGTGAATTACAAAATCTATCACTTCAGAAAGAGAGATTGCACTCACAAATTAATACTACTATTGGGTAAGTATTAAGTTTGTGTTTAAAATCTGTATCTCATCAGTATTGCAAGAGAGGCCTGTAGGTCCTTTGGTGTTTTCCTTGACTCTTTTGTGGCTTGCTGGATGAGTCATTGCTGTGCACTTGGAGGAATTTTGGAAGGCCTGGCCACTTCAGGGAAGGTTCATTACAGTGCTGAGTTTTTCCATTTGGAGATAATCGCTCTCACTGAGGTTCTTTGGAGTCCCAGAGCCTTAGAAATAGCTTTGTAACACTTTGCAGACTGATGTAGATCAATCACCTTCTTCCTCTTCATTTTTAGAATTTCATAAATGTGTATAGTGCGTTACCGGGTAAGACCTTTTAACGAACTTCATGCTGTTGAAAAAGTTATTTTTAAGTGTTTATTTGATTGAACAGGGTTTGCAGTAATCATGCCTGTTTGCGTCTAATCCAGCTGAACTATTCGAATGCAGTTTGATAGATTTGGGAAATTAATAACTACAGGGGGCAAATACATTTTCTCACAGGCCCAGTGGGTTTTGGATAACTTTTTTGCTTCAGTAAATAAATTTATCATTTAAAATCTGTATTTTATGTTTACTCAGGTTGCCTTTGTTTTGTTAGATTTTTGTTTTAGTTTCTGAAACAGTTTAATATGAGCTGTACACAAAAACTGAGGAAATCAATTACTTCTTCACAGCAATGTATTATATAGATCTAATCCTGACTGTAGAAACTCAGTAATAATATGAAGTGACACATTGACTGACGTAACAGCTGTGAAACCCCCTGCCCTCAGGCAAAAAAAAGAAAGAATATGGATTGACAGACTTTTGTCCCAGTTTCGCTGTCAGCTCTTGAGTGGTTCCAGATAAAGCTGACATGGAAACGTGATCCATCAGATAGCCTTTAGACAGTGGCAGTCAGCTAAAATTCAAGAGTCCCCTATCAGTTCCTTTCTACTTATAGTAACGGTGAAATAAAAAAGACAAGGAGAATGAAAGAGTGAGATCAGGGTAGGGGACAGCGTTCATATAAGCCGCTTTTCCACCGAAATTACCTGGAACAATTAATCCCAGGAACTTTTTTCAAGGGACCATTTGGTTCCTCCAAACCTTTGTTGTCTGCATTTCCATCGCGGTCTAAAGTACCGTGAAGATTATGCTAATTAGTCCGGTGACGTACAACTGCGCACGAGAAGCCCTCGGCGAGGATATGAAGCCTCGAAGTATGCTACAATCAAACTTATTATTGATGCAAAGTAAGCTGATTTTAACAGTAACAAAAGAGTTTGCTACAACTAAACTGGTGGTGTAGTGGTTAGGGTTTGGCGCTCTTGCTGTCACGGTCTGGGTTCGATTCCCGGTCACGTAATCAAATGTAGTTTTGTTTATCTTTGGATAAAGGTTTGTGTTTTAAAAGCCGACAGTCTATTTTCTGAAATCTGATAACGACACTGCAGCAACAACAAGCATGGAGGAGATTCAAACTGCTGCTGTTGATTGTGATGTATTGCTTTGCTAAAATAAAAAAGGTAATTGAGAAAATGCAGGAAAAGAGACGAGCAGTAGTAGTAAAGTGAATTCAGAATGCTGGTAATGCTAGACTTAAAGCAAAAGGATTTTGTCAGCTATCGCTGAGATGACTGAGACTAACGTGCACACAAGCTTCTCTCTGCACTGTTTTCCTGTGTGAACAACGCCCAGCTTGCTTAACCCACTTGATATTTTTAACTATACGTTTTCACTTCAGGTCGCCGTTTCCAGTTCCCGCTGTATCTCGTCCTCAGCATAAATACTTATTAAGGCCTGAACCTCGTCATTGGTCCATCGGTCGTATTTTTTAAGAAACTCCATTGTGTTGATTCGAATCGCAGTAAACAACTGTTCCTGTGCACCGCAACAAACTTTTTGGAAAGTCCCACCCCATAAAGTTCCTGGCCTTTGAAAAAGTACCACCTCCTGAGTAGGGACTTTGCGAGGGCTAGATATTTTACCCGGTACTTAATTTGGACCCTGGTCACTGAGTACCTCCAAAAGTCCCTAGTTCCTGGGTAAAGTTCCTTTGGTGGAAAAGCGGCATAAGTGTACATTTGTGGAGAAAGTACCACGTTAAGTGGTCCTTTCATGCCATTTATCTACTAACACCATTCAGTCTGTGTAGAGAAAACCATGACATAAAGATATGGAAAATACAAAGAACTGACAGATCTTACCAGCATGAAAACTGAAAATGAAAAAAAAATAATAATAAATTCATGTACAATGGATTAACAGTAGATGTTAGTTAAGCCAGCTTGCATCAGTCATATTTCCAAAAAAAACATGATCTGTAAAAAGTATGTGTTAAGTCTTTCTGTGAGTCTAAAGATGAGGACACTGGCACTGATATACATGCATTAATGCTAAAAACCTGCTATAATGTGCTCCAGGATCATTCAAGTAGGTTAATAGCTTACCGCTTATGTTTTTGGCTCTTTTCCCAGAGTATCTACTTAAAGGAAAAGTCCTCGATGAAACAAATGAGAGATCCTTGCATTTTTATATCATTTATAAACATTTGTGATGTGCATAATGAGTCTGGTGCTAATTCGTTGGTTATTTTTGCATCATTGTTGCTTTTCTTTTTTCATCATTCCTGTTCGAGGTTAGAGGTCGTCTGTGATGTCATAGATGGACATTACAAGTGCTGTTACAAAGGTGTTTAATAGGAGAAAATGTTTCCGTGACCTCAGACATCAGTGATAACTTCTGTTCTCACTCAACATTTTCCAGCGATATTCAATGGGATGTTAATGAGAAATCCAGCATAGGAAAAATGGAGACAATGCAGTGCAGCTGTAAGAGACAGGCACACTGAGTTAAGGGACATATCGGGCAACCCACTTGGCTTGACTAGGTTGTGATCTACAAGATGTCAAGCACGATATCTTTTCTGTGAAGACATCAGTATTAGTATTCTGTTTTGAAGCCAGATTATACAGACGAGGACAGACGATTACGAAGACGACAGACGAAGGATTAACATACAGTTTACTACGGCTGTAGCTCATCACACAAACAGTTTCCAAATTAACATTTGTCTGTGTGTGTGTATGTGTGTTTCCTAATTTTTAACTCTCCTTTAATGATGTACAACTATACTCCAAAATGATCATACAGCTATATGTCACTGCAAGCATTTGAAGATATCCAGGCACATTAGTGTTTGTGTGTGTGTGTGTGTGTGTGTGTGTGTGTGTGTTTTACCCAGAAAGCTATGCAATTTTATTTTGCTTCCTTGTGTCTTTTCCGCATACCCAAACACCCCTTCCCCGCAGAGAAACTAATGCCCTCACTGCTACATTAGTCTTAGTCTAACAGGGGAGAGGAAAAACACTGACGGTAACAAACGACCTGTCACCTATTCGAAGTGCCTCTGCTGTAGGGTACTGAACATGACAAGGTCACTGTGTGAGAAATGAGTTTCTGTTTAGATATGGCAGGATTTGTGGCACATCTGCATTATTGGCTGTTGTGGAAATCAGTCAGGTCCTTCAACTCGCTCAATCCCTGACTTCCTGTTCCAGCTGGAAACACGTCAACATACAGAATCAAATAATGGCTCTGAAGTTATTTCATGGGCACTTTATGGAGAAGGACAGGAGCTGATTTGATTGGATTATTTTCGTTACACACACAACCACAATTCTTAATAATGTTCTCAAACCCATTATGTATTAATATGAATGTATAAAAAATTACCCATTTGTTGCTATGATTACGAAAATACAGCCCATAATTTGAGTAGTAGTTCTTTCACAAAAGCCTTAAAATAATATTGTTTTATTAGACATGTTGTCAAGAATAAAGAATGTCTATAAAAATGGAAGGAAAAAAAACTGCCAACTATAGGCTTGTGCAATATTGATTTTTCCATGCTTGTGAGATAGATATATATATATATATATATATATATATATATATATATATATATATAAATTCACAGGTAACAATTTAACTGTCCAGAACCAAAACAAGCATTTCCACCATTTTAGGTTTAAAAGAGAGCAGGAGAGTGCGTAGTAATATTACTAGATGAGTAGGAACTGCATGCTGGCAGTGACAACCACGAAAACTCTTTAACAGACTTGTTTAAACTTTTTTAGGTCAAAATTTTCACCTTTTTTTCCCCTATTGGTTGAAAATGTTTGACCATTTTCGACTGAAATTATTCTGTACATTATATTTCCTCATAAATATATTCATAATTCATGTTAACCAGTGTTACTTTTTTATTGTTAGCTAAGCCAAACATACAGCAATCGATTTTATTCCACATTAACGAGCAAGAATATCCAGTGAATCTAGACCAGAGCATGTGAGATGAGGTTTCCAGGTAGCGTCAGTTAATATCAGAGAGTTCAAAACACCTGTGAAAATCATTCCATCGAATCGTTATACCGCACAAGCCTACCCAGTTAGCTCAAATGTATCCCAATTGGCACCTGGCAAAACTGGCTTTACTGATCCTAGTTACACCTGATTTGTTGGAGGCAGACAAAACCACAAAAATGGCTACCAATATTTGACCACTGAGGCTCAGTTCTTGGTTTGTAATCAACCTCGTACTCATTTCTCAAGCCTTTTTTGTGCTAACCTCCCACATCTATAGTATATATGATGTTCAGAAATACACATTGTCTGTTGCCTTGTACACAGTGCTTTAAGTACAATGTAGTGCTTAGGCTCAAACAGCAGTTTTGTTCATAACACAAAGTTTCACACGCAGAATATAAGCTAAGAGACTAACTGCTGAAAGTAGCTCCACACACTGTAATACACCAGGCCAAGTGTATGCATAGAACTAAATATCTTCTAATTGAAAAAAGTGCCATAGACCGTTAGAAATCAGAAGACAACCAACATCACAGATATCATCAGGTGAGGTTTAGAAGAACTGACAGTTTTTAAGTTTTATAGAGTTCTCTTCCATCTGTCCTCTCCCTTTTAACACCTCACTCCTCTCGCTCCCTGAAATCACACAGTACGAGAACACGTCAGAGAGCGCTTTCTTTCAAAATCAGTGGAGAGCAAGACGAAGGGAGTGGAAAGGAGTCAGAAGAGTTTATGGTTTGTTTTAGTTCATGACAGCGGGAAGTCGCTGTGACTATTACGCCAGCGTGAAATTACCCAGCCTTTTTCCCATTCCTTTCAGACAGCCTTGCTGTGCTCAGCTAGGAACCCTTTTTCATATATTTCCTCTTTCAGGCAAACTGTATCGCAAGCTTTTTTCAGCCTGAAAACGATTCAGCAACTGCCACCTTGATTCCTCGGTGGTTCTTAACCATCATTATGAGATTCGCTAAACTTGAGGCTTCTAAATGCTTAGCACTCAGGATAGAGGTTTCAGATCTTTGAGAATTTGCCTGGGAACATTCGCTGTTTCCCAACTTTAGAGCACTACCAAAGAGTAAGATAAATTATTAAATAAATAGATCGGTCAGTCCTGGGGAAATCTCTGTTGTACCTGGGGCAAATAATCAAGTCAAGTGGGTTTTTATTGTAATTTTTCTATATAGCTTGTATACATTGGAACGAAATGTCTTTCTCCAGGACAATGGTGCAACAGAGAACAGTACACAAGACTACATAAAGTGCAAATACACAATAGTGTGAGACGAGCGCAAGACAATAAATACATAGAGAGACTCCAGTAATCTTTTCAGCAGTTCTCAAAATTCACTGTAGGGTCTTGTGGCTGTGCAGTTCCCCTACCACATGGTGAGACAGCTAGTCAGGATGTTCCCTATCGTATCTCTGTAGAAGGAGGTGAGGATGGGAGGAGGAGTTTGGCTCTCTTCAGCCTTCGCAGGAAGTGGAGGCGCTGCTGGGTCTTCTTGGTTAGGCAGGTGGTGTTGAGTGTTGGAGTCAAAGAGAGGTCCTCTGTCATGTGCACACCAAGAAGCTTTTGACTCTCTCCACAGTTGTTCAGTTGATGTTCAGTGGTGAGTGGTCCACTTTAGGCCCATGACTGTAGTGTCATCAGCAAACTTGATGATATGATTAGACCTGAACTTTGCAGCATTGTCATGAGTCAGCAGGGTAAACAACAGTGAGCACACAGGCCTGGGGGCGCCGGTGTTCATTGTGGTGGTGCTAAAGGTGGACTTGCTGATCCTGACAGACTGGGGTCTCCCAATCAGAAAGACCAGTTGCAGAGGGAGGTGGGCAAACCCAGCAAACTCAGCTTTATCATCAGTTGTTGTGGTTTGCTTGTGTTGAATTCTGGACTGAAGTCTACAAAAAAGATCCTTACATAGTTGTCCTTTTTGTCTAGATGGTTCAGAGGCAGATGGATGGTAGCAGATATGGGATCCTCTATTGAGCAGTTT